TACATTAATATAATTACGTAAGTTTGTCTCAAAATGTAGTTACTCCAATCAGTTAAGCTTAATTTTAAGTAAATACCTTAACACATACCATAAATGAGCGAATTTTTTGCGCAATCCACAATAAAGACACCATAAAAGGACATTATTGTTGACTACGTGATTTAATGAGTACAAGCCCTTATTTTTGTAAACATTGGTGATGGTTTGTGATAGTAGTTGTAGACTGTGATATACGGTTTGATGAATAGACATTCCCAACCACAACTAGGCTATTTGGAAGATTATCTCAAATTTCCCATTATAACTTCAGAAACTCTAAAACCCTCAAAAGATACATCCAATAGAAGTTTAAGGACATTAGTGAAGTCTGTTACTTAACTTAGACTTACAACGCATACATGAAACTTCACTAATGCATTTAAGCTAAAGCGTATTTTTGTTGGATGATCATTTCCAGGGGAAGATGTAGGAATGTTTGAGAACCACCGCATAAAGGACGCAGATTGTGAAATGTTTCTTCCTATAATCACTAGCGCTTAGCACTCGCAGACAGTTTAGTTCCAGATTAGTCTACAGATGCTCTCATCACACAATATTCTTAGAAGAGTTTTCCCATGTTGACAATGACCGTCTGACGTTGCCCAACCCAGATTTCAGCTGCAAGGTCCTCATGGCGTCAGCACACAGCACTCGGCACTTCACGGTAATGTACCTAGCCTCAGACCCGCTCATTTGGAGTTTGGCGGGCACTTAGATGACGTCACAGGCTATCTAGGGTCATCTTGGGTTAAATAGCTCAAACCCAGTAATCTGGGATGACCAACTCGGTTATTGATAGTAAACTTATTGAAAGGAAGATTTACAGTTAGGTACAGATCGTGTGAAATAGAGTGGTGGGATGCGCAAGAGCACAAGATCCATTCTCTTTCCACTGCTTTTGTAATTTTGAACAGTAATTTCAAGATTTTTTATTAATTCAATACCAATCCTATACTCTAATATGAGCAATGTTTGCTTGCTTGCTTGCTCGCTTGCACAAAGATCTCGAAAACGGCTCCGACGATTTTCTTCAAATGTTGTAAATAGTTCATTTCTGGCCTAAAAACGAGTTTCATGCAGTTAGAACTGCCAACAAAAATCTAATTACGTAGAAAAATGAAACTGAAAGTCACATTTTTTTAACATTAGTCTTATGGGTTGCTAAGTAACCATCTTGGCTGAATTAAATAACAAGGAAAAAGTAAACAAAAGACTTGTAAGTTAGTTGTCTATCCACAGTATACTAGCAAATTACAAAATACAAAATACAGTACAAAAGGAAAAACATAAGTTGTGTCTATTAAGCAAAGAGTATACTGAAGATTACTCGATGCATTATTTATAAAGGCTAGCAGTGTGTAGTGTAGGAAGCGTCTGCGGCATTTGGATAGTAGATTTCCCATCCTTATGGAACAGCTGAAGCCAATTTTATTGTTAGTTCTGTCTGGTTTTCTGTAGATGTCGTGTTTTGTTTACAATTTGTTTATTTTATTTTAGGGTTAGTTTCTCATTATTTGTGTCTCACTGTTTGGTTATACATATAGCTAGTTTTTTTTAAAATTCAATAGTGTCAGTGGCGGCTAGTTGCGTAACCCTCTGTATTTGGAAGCATTTGCTCATCACTTCCTGTACCCGTCCTAATTAATTGGTACTATCTTTACATGCCCTGCCATGTGGTACACCAAGAATCACACATGAAGACTCATGCCACGAGAGAAGGCAAATCGGAATAATGTAGTAAGATTTTTAAATGTATAATAGGGGCAGGAAAACCAAATGGTGGAATAGTCTCTGGTGGTTTACCATAAGCTAGTTTAGGGATTATTTTACTTGTACTGCTTTTTAATGGTTCTTAAAACATAAGCTAAACTACAAGTCCTCTAAGGGTTTGAATGTGTTATAATTTCTAATAGACTGCATTTGAATTACCAGCTGATCATATGATCTTTATTCTTATTGATTACTATTGTTTATGTTTAGTTTCTATTCTATGTTCATGGAATAATACACTTTTTTATCTGATTTATCTTTTATTATGTTATAAAGAGTTACAACAGTTTTGGCGACGAGGTAAAAGTATAAATTTGTTTATTCATACATTAATGACCAGTTACATTTTTTTTTCAATTACCTTTTCTTCAAATAACATGTTAATAACTACATCTCAGGCTTAGGAACATTCAAGTTACAACAACAAAATGAACTCAGAACAATTTGACAAATTCATAGAAGGCCAGAAACAACAAATGGATCTTCTATTTCTGTTGTTTGAGAAACTAGAACAAAAAATGAAAGATAACACACCAGATCCAACTGCTCAATTTGAAAGTTACAACTCAGAAAAAGAAAGATTTTCAGCCTATATTGAACGATTTGAAAACTATCTCAGCATGAAGAATGTGTCAAACAAAACCAAAAAAGCTCAAATTCTATGTGCATCAATCGGTTCTATCCATTACAACAACTTAGTTGCATTCAAAGGACCTACAAAGAAAATCAAAGACTTGGAATATAAACAGCTTGTTGAAGCCTTTTTCGAAATGCTATCGCCTAAAAAGAATACTGTAGTGTCGCAGCATTACTTTTTCTCCACTTACCAATCAGAAAGTGAAAACATACCTGACTATGTTGCAAGTTTGCAAAAACGACTTGCTGACTGTGAATTTTACATAAAATGTGAATGCAGAGAAAACATTTCAACAGCTCACATTTTCTTAAGGGCTCAATTCATAAGGGGCATTCGTGATAATAGCATTCGAGAACAACTTTTACAAGGAAAGGAAGAGAACTTTGATGAAATAGTCAGGAGAGGTTAGCTCTTGAAGCAGCCCAAATCCAGTGCAAGGAACTTTCAAACATTTCAAAACCTCTGATCCCTAGTTCTTCAGTGCCAGATATAGTGAAAATTCAGAAGACCACTAGACACGATCATCCATCCACTCGGACATCATCATCATCATCATCATCAACATCATCTCCCTGGAAAAAGCCATCATACAAGCATCGATCAAGCCAAAGAATCGATTATGAGTCCTTAGGAATCAACAATCTTTGCTTCAGATGTGGAACATCTAACCACCGATCAAACCAGTGTCGAATAAGGCGTGAAAAACTATTCTGTGAAGCATGTAAGAAGAATGGCCACATTCAAAAAGTTTGCATCAATACCCTGACCAAGAAATATGCTTCAAGTAAACAAGTTAACCGATTCTCTGACAATGATATGATCAATGACTCACAATCTGATTGTTCCTACGGGGCATGCAACATAATCAGTTCAGTATCCAAAGATCAGAAAATCATCAACCTCTACGAAATTGAACCTGGACATGGAAAGTACATAGTAGAGGTAGCGATAAACCACAAGAAACTGAAGATGGAAGTAGATTCTGGTGCACGGTACACAATTTTACCAGAGGATAAGTTCTTAGCATTGAATTTGGGAATAGATCTTCAACCTTCAAATCTAAATTTTCGAGCTTATTCCAATGATATTGTGCCATGTAAAGGAAAAGCAAAAGTTACATTACAATATAAAGAACGATCTTTAAAAGCAGAAGTGTATGTAGTTTCATCAGGCCACGATCCTATTTTAGGTAGAGATTTGATCCGTGCTTTCGACATTGAACTAAAACAAATCGATCATGACATGAAAACTAATCCAAAAGTCCATTTGGTTGATGGCGACAGAAAGAACTTTCAAGATATGAATAACATTCTGAATGAGTTTGCTTCAATTTTTGAGGAAAAAATTGGTTGTGTTCCTAACATTCAAGTTTCATTAACTTTAAGAGATGACGCAAAACCGGTATTTACAAAAGAACGTGATGTCCCATATGCACTTAGAGAACGTGTTGAAAAGGAGTTGGAATCTTTAGAAAAAGAGGGAATCATCACTCCGATTGCGACAAGTGACTGGGGATCACCTCTCGTCATCATTCCCAAACCAGATGGTGGACTGAGACTTTGTGTGGATTACAAGTGCGGTGTAAACGAGAGGTTAGTCTCGGCTAATTTTCCTATAAGGACGGTTGAAGATGTTCTTAACAGTCTCCGAAATTCCAAATACTTTTGCAAACTTGACCTTTATAAAGCGTACCTACTTACATTTAGCAGTAGACAAAGAAAGTAGTGAAATCCAAACTATGTCAACACATAAGGGAACCTTTCTCATGAACCGTCTCAGTTTTGGCATAAAAACCGCTCCCTCAGAATTCAACAGAATTTTGTCACAAATCCTCAATGGACTTAATAGGTGTGAAGCTTATTTCGATGACATAGTCGTCCATGGAGCAACCCAAGCAGAATGTGCTCACAACCTTCGAATGTGTTTAAGAAGACTAACAGAATACGACTTACATCTAAATCGAAAGAAATGTACATTTTTTGAAACAAAGATTGAATACTTAGGACACCTGATTGAGCAAAATAAAATCAGCAAATCTCCCGAGAAGATAAAGGCAGTGATGGAAATGTCAAGACCGCACGACGCTGATGAGGTCAGAAGATTTCTTGGAATGATTACTTATTACTCACGTTTCATTCCAAATCTATCTACGTTGTCCTGTCCCTTAAGGGAGTTGCTCAAGAAGAAACTCCGTTTTCAATGGACGACAGAATGAGAATCATCCTTCCAAAAGCTCAAGCAAGAGATTTGCAGTGACAGAGTCCTGATTCCTTATGATCCAAAATTGCCAGTTGTACTTTCTTGCGATGCAAGCCCTGTTGGCATTGCGGGAATACTTAGCCACATCGTAAATGGTCATGAACGCCCTATCGCTTACACATCCAGATCACTAACACCTGCAGAACAAAATTATAATCAACTAGATCGAGAGGCACTTGCTATTATATTTTCTGTTGGAAAGTTTCATAACTACTTGTATGGAAGCCAGTTCACTCTTGTCACAGATAATAAGCCTTTGAGCAGAATCTTTAGTCATGACCACTCTTTGCCGAAAATGACAACAGCTCGATTACTTCGATATGCTTCATTTCTATCTGGATTCAATTATAAGTTGAAAAACAAATCAGGAGATGAAAATGAAAATGCTGATTGTTTATCTCGAGCACCTTTGTCTCAAGACTCAAGATCAACTGATATGAAGATAAATGAAGAAGTTCACCTTCTGTATGCTGAGTCACTTTTCCAAATTTCTTCAACTGCTATCACGAATCAGACCATTGCAAGTGCAACATTAAACGATTCTCATCTCAAATCTCTTATGAAAACTCTACAAACAAGCAACGAAGACACACCCTACACCCTTCTTGATGGAATTCTCTTTTGGCAAGATCGAGTTGTCATTCCACAGAGCCTTAAAAATTCAATTTTGAGAGAACTTCACACAACACATATCGGTATAACAAAAATGAAACAACTTGCAAGGCGGTATGTGTACTGGGAAGGGATGAACCATGACATAGAAGACCTAGTTAGATCTTGTGAAATCTGTGCTAAGCTCCGTAACAACCCCCCGAAGGTGATAGTACACCCGTGGGATCAGCCTCACTCCAATTGGGAACGTCTACATATAGACTATGCAGGTCCTTTCGAGGGTCATCATTTTCTAGTTGCCATTGATGCCAAGTCAAAATGGGCAGAGGTCCGAGTCATGAGACATTCTCCTACAACTGAAACAACAATACACACACTTCAAGAAATATTTTCATTCCATGGCTACCCCAATTCATTGGTCACCGATAATGCATCAATTTTCACAAGCGATGTAATCAAAGCCTTCTGTATTGATCATGGTATTACCCAAAAATTTATTGCCCCAGGCCATCCAGCTACAAATGGATTAGCCGAAAGAAATGTTCAAACTGTGAAGAAACGTTTAAAATCAATGGCAAGTGAAAAGGGCACCATGCCAGAAAAGGTCAGGAAAATGCTTTTAGATTAAGAATAGAGCTGGATGCCATATTTCCTATTCCAAAGAAGATAAATAAAGAAAAAGAAGTTAGGCAGACAAAACATGTAAGATCGATGAGAGTAGGAGATAGAGCCCAAGTTCGCCTTTACTCTGGAAATGCCGAAATCTGGGAATTTGGAACCATCCAATCCAAACTGGGCTATCGATAAACGACACACATAAATAAATAAATGATGCTAATCATGATGCTAAGTAATGATGATAAATGATGCTATCATTTTGAAAATGATCGACATTACATGGTAAAGCTTGACTCTGGACGCTTAATCAAAAGGCACATCAATCAACTCATAAGAACAAGAGTACCGCCTAAAACGACAAATCAACGGGAAGAAGATAATCAAAGACGCTCCACTAACCAACAGTCAGAAGATATCCAAAGACGTACTGTTAGGTTCAGTATTCCAGGGATACCAGCATTACAACGCTCTCCAAACAGTGGTTCAACCCCGGGTTCAACCATTGTCGGTCGTACGCTACAACGGCGTTCCACGACTGGTCAAATACCAGTAGTGGAGGCTCAACATCCTGAATGTGGCATCAATTTTCCTGATGAAGTCAGAATTCAAGATCAATCACCTCGACGTTCCTCGACTGGCCAAATACCGGTAGTGGAGGCTCAGCATCCTGAATGTGACATCCAGATTCCCGATGAAGTTGAGTCACCTCAGTTACGTAGGTCAACACGTGTTCGACAACCGCCAAGTTACCTTGAGGCTTATGTGTGAGCTCAAAACTTATGTGGGGAAGATTGTTATAATTTCTAATAGACTGCATTTGAATTACCAGCTGATCATATGATCTTTATTCTTATTGATTACTATTGTTTATGTTTAGTTTCTATTCTATGTTAATGGAATAATACACTTTTTTTATCTGATTTATCTTTTATTATGTTACTAGCTGTAACCCGCGGGCTATGCCCCGTTTAACTTCTTAATTTTCAAGATGATCTCGTTTGCATGGCTCAATCACGTCCTGGTTGAAGTTCGTTCGCTACGCTCATTCACCTTTAGGTTGAAGCTCGTTCGCTGCGCTCACTTTCCTTCAGGTTAGCTCGTTCGCTACGCTCACTTGCCTTCAGGTTAGCTCGTTCGCTACGCTCACTCGCCTCCAGGTTGAAGTTCGTTCGCTACGCTCACTTACCTTTTGGTTGCAAATTAGCTGTTGTCATAAATGTAAAACAAATAATAGTGCTAGTGCTGCACCCTGTTGGTAATCCTTGTAACTTTAATGCTATTGAACATCACAGAACAGAACCAACTTGTTTAATTGAAACAGCTGTTAAGATTCAATAATTTCATTTCTCATAAGGTTAACATGGGATGGGAAACTCCAGAGCCACTGGGGCGGAGCCCGAAAGGATTTTTGAAATAAGAATATGCCTATATGTTAATCGGGAATGTGAGCTATCATCATGCCAAATTTCAGCCCAAACCGCCCAGTATTTTTCGCGTTTACTTTTCCCATACATACAGCAACCACCTCTTTTTTATAATAGTATAGATAGATAAAGAGTTACAACAGAATGTAACGAAAATAAACACAAGGAGACTGCATGGGAACCATTTTATGCATATTAAACAACTAGCTGGCTGAGTAAAATATTAGCTAGTGGCGTATTGGCGGACTTCAGAGTACAATCTATAAAAACTTACATTTAGATTGAACTTCGATTTAAATAAACGGCCAAGCTCTTTTACTACTTGTACCAAAACAGTGGTGTTAATTCAATTATTTCAATTGATATTTCATGTAAGTTTATATACATGACGTACACTACAAATAACTTCTCGAAGCTCTGTAGATGCAGTCAAATCCTTTCCTCACGACACCACCTACTTTCTGGTAATTAAGTTGTTTCCAAATACAGAAGAGGTAATCGTCAATATTTGAACCGTGGCAAGTGTCACGACTTGTTCAATATATGTACACACACTCACACACCCACGCGTATACACACACGTACAAACGAATGCAAGAATGTCTAACTCGTTCTCTTATTGACTAGTGTTGTAACCACTCAGGCATTAAACAAATAAAAAGTAAGAATAATTACATGAAAAAACGCGTTCTACATAAACAGAACGTAACTAGCATTAAAATCTCCCTCGGTCTTCAAGTAATCCATACGGATGACTTTAATAACTATAAAAGGATTACGTTTAATCTATGGCGGCAGCTAAGCAATTATCTACTGCTATTTGTTATTAGCTGTAATGCGACGTTAGAATATGATATTGTAGGTGAGGAATTCCATTCATATACTATCTACAATCTACAAATTGCATAAACGTTAACATAGCTGCGCTCTGCCGATCCTCTCAGTGAAGCACGACTTCTGTTAACTAGACAAGACATTTACCACAGCCGCAGATGCACGCGAACATGCAGTTATTACGGAAGTAGTTAATCTTTGAACCATCGATGCAGATGTTACCAGGTCTCGACATGATCCAGAAGCTCTCGGCAGGTCGTGGTGATAACGATAGTTCCTTATCAGTGGTAAATCAGAACTTACTGTGGGAGAATTAACATTATATAATCTTATGATTTGACGAGACAACATAAGATATAAACTATAATGTATATAGATGACTTGGGCTTTAGAAATGCCTTTTAACGCGATTTTCATAAATAATTGTCTAATATCAAAGGTAAGATTGGGTGTTTTGCTAGCGTCTTGGACTTCGGTAAGGGAGGGACGGATTCAATTCCCGGCACATCCACACAAAAATTATTAAGTTTGGACTGATTTCCCTTAGAAGCGCTTGCCTTGAGGCCCATAACAAAAATGTCATTTGCGTAGGCACGAAAAAAAGAAAATCTAGTTAGAGATCTAATATCTACCAAGGGGAAGATGGGAGTAATTTGCGTGTTCATTCATAGTGGGGTCAGGCGTCAAAGCACTCATGCATCTTATTCCTTTCGATGTTTCATTCGTTGAATATCAAAAGTAAGATATCTTTCAAGTTTTTAAGCATATGTCAGGGAAATCGTTGGTTTGGTACAATTTAATGGCAGGATTACTTTTCACTTAATTTTATCCCCAAATTGACAAAATATTGTGAGCATAAAAAAGATATGTGTCCAGTCCCCAGGCACAAAAGCATAAATTAATGAATGTACTGTAGTTAGTGGGATCGTCGTCTTTATATGTTAGGTGTTTCATTACCCATCCATAATCTAATTTATCGGTATTGACAAATTTAATATTAATTAAGAGGTTCAGTTTGCAGGCCAGACTGACTAAAGGTTACTGCTAGTGGCATTCGTGTATGTATGAGATAGGAATCATCGTACTTTATTCTTTATCCATCAGCTCATTGTATGATCTTGAAACCATCAATTAATGGATGTTTCCAGTTTCCTGGTATAACTGTCTAGTGGACGCGATTTTGCCGACTGCTGGTACGCCTTATCATCCATCCGTTTAGTAACCTCATTATTTTACTTTAGGGAAATAACGAGGTGTTTATAGCTTAAAGGACTAACAGCAAAGGGCTGGTGGTCGTGTTACCTTTGTATATTTGGGATCCTATGCTCGACAGGGGTTTTCATCAGTATCTGTTGCAGTGACCCAACCAATCGGCTTTAACATTTTCCATCTTATTATTAAATCTTGCAGACATCACCTAAGGGATGTCCCCAGTTCCAGGCCAAACTGTCCAGAATGGTCACCGAGGCATGTAGTTGAGATATCGTCGTCAGGAGCGCTTGCCTCACACGACCCCCGATTATCCGACCTTGAGGACATCATGAGTCTACCGCATCGTCTCGTCCTTCCCCAGTTTGCGTAAGACAGCAATCATTTCATCACCGGATAATTGATGCGTGCATCTCTTACGGGAAAAGATGTTCTTGCTATCAGGTCATATTTTGGTCAATACCATTATTTTGCCTGCACACACTTAAGAGCAGGTAAAAGCGTAGGTTTGTTTGGAATTACTGGACGCGTTGCAGAAAGTCAACAGTACCGGAAGGTCAAATAATTTATACCTGTGCCGCTAGGTCAAAAACTACAATGTTTGCAGTGTCTGTAGATCAAAAATCCTAGTAAGTCAAATAATACAGTCCGTGCTAAAAACGTAGTCTATGTCAAAGCTATTGACTTATTGGGAATTTGACCTAATGCAACAGCAGTTTTAATATAACGAAATAAGATAAAATATAAGTTCAGTTTCGCTGAGTCAACAGTGTCGGAAGGTCAAAAGTATAATCTCTTAAAAACAACGATAGTCCTCTCGACGCATGACTTCAATAATTTCGTGTTTTGGTGTACTTAAAGTTGTGCTAAAATTTTGAAAATTGGCACAGAGCTTCTTGGTTAGTCCTACTCGATGACTATTTTGTTGGAACTTTAAACTATTTACCGATCTAATTAATAAAAATTGATATGTATGGTGAAATAGTTTTAAATCGTGATTTCTAACATGAAAAAGTTAGCATGCGAGATTTTTGTTTGTTTTTGGGTTAGAGAGGTTTTGTCTGTGGCAAAGTTGTAGCCAAAAGTGTGATGCGTAAAATATATTTATTTTTTTTTACAATCAGTGGTTCAATAGATAACTTGGGTTGAAGAGGACGGCAAATTTAGCATTTCGCAACGCATGGAAAGAACTACATCGTACGATACGACTGCTGAGTGGACTTTTAATTTACAGTTCTAAGGACAAGAAAAAGATGAATATACAGATCACCAGTACATTCATATTATTTATAAAAAATCTTTCTGTATTACCAGCTTACACTTTTCACTTATATTAATAAGAATACATCATACAGGGTGTTAAAAAAGAGCGGGGAGATACTTTACCTAGTAATTCCTTGGGTCAAAATAAACAGAAAATGAAGGATAACATTTTTTCCAAAATCGTTTCGTTAACCAGATATCCGCCATTTTGTATTTTTTACATACAAATATTTATTTTTACACTCTTCCAACCGATGTTTATGAAACTTGGTATGTGTGT